ATGAGGATAAAGAATGGAGAGAAAGATAAATACACTAATAAAAAAAATAAGGCTAATGAGGAAAAGTGATGGAAAACAAAATGATGATAAGAGAAGAAGGAAGGGGAAGAAAAATAGAAAGACGAGAGTGAAAAGTAAGAGGGTTTGGAGAATAAGATGGAAAATGAAAGAGAACATGAAATAGGAATGAGAGTGAGTAAGAAAGGATAGAGAACATGAAGGAAAATGAAATGAAAGAAAGAAGAGAAAGAAAGAGAGAAAAGGATATCAAAAAAGCACGAGGGAAAAAGAAGGGGAAAAAGAGACAGAAAATGAGAGGAAGACGAGAAAGAGAAGAAAAGAGTGAGTAGGAACGGATGAAGAATATGAAGTAGGAATGAGAGTGAGTAGGAAAGGATGGAGAACATGAAGAAAAAAGGAAGGAAAGAAAGAAGAGAAAGAAAGAGAGAAAAGGATAACGAAAGAACATGAAAGAAAAAGAAGGGGAAGAAGAATTGACAAAAAATGAGAGAAAGACGAGAAAGATAAGAGATAGAGGGGTATAATAAGAAGAAAGAGAATGAATATGAGATCAAGAAAGAGAAGAAAAATATAGTAGTAGAAGATTAAAAAAAAAATAGGAGAAAGAGCAAGAAGAAAAATAGGAAACAAAAATATATAGAGGAAAAACAAAAGGAAGGATGAGATAGTGGAAAAATAGAAAGGGTGGAATAGGAGTAAGAAAGGGAAAAAACGAAGAAGAAAATTGTAGAATTGATGAAACGAGAAAAAAGAGATAATTATGAAGGATAACATAATAAAGTTAGCAAGGAAGAAGAAAGAAAAGGGCAAACGAAAATAATAAAGAAAGGATTATGAGATAAGTGGAGAAATAGAAAGGGTGGAGGAGGGGTAAGAGAAGGAAAAGAACGAAGAAGAAAAATGTAGAACGGATGGAAGAGGGAAAAAAGGATATAATCGTAAAGGATAAGAGAATTAGATGAAAGTTAGCAAGGAAAAGTAGTAGAAGGAAATGGCAGCATGAAAAAAAGTCCAAATAATTCTTTTACTTCGCTAACTCATGGTTAGGGGATTAATAAATCTAGCTAGTTCAATTAACACAACAATGGGCGTCAATGTTCTTATCTTAGAATCAACGAGGTTGAATACAAGACCAACATAAACTGTGATGCTAAAACTAGACTAACTCTTAGGGCATCTCCAACCCAAGGAGAAAGAAGGGGAGAAAGGGTAAAATAGTAGTTAGGGGAGAGAAATTAGTTTCTTCACAGAGAAACTATATTGAAATTTAATTGACACCATGTATTTAACCAAACAAAATCTAAACATAAGGTTGAAATTCAGTCTCAACAGCTGAAATTATTCCTCAACAGTTGAAACAGCTGAAATTATTTCAAAATTAATTTTTAAAATTTTTTGGCTGAAAATTTGGAGAGAAAATGAGAGAACAATTGTGGATGCCCTTAGAAGTTAGGGAATGAAGGAGCGAGAGTTGATTAAGAAATCCTAGGGCCTTAACATGAAAATCCCAAAAGGTTTTTGACAATCTATAGGAACAGTACACCAAGCATTATTTATGGACAGGGCGACCAAAAAAATTGAGCATTTAATTAGAAGCCAGTTCAGTGTTTTATATTCCATCTCTTAATACCAAATTCAAATTATCGAGTTAGCCCCTAGCACATATTGTTTGGATCCCCCTATGGATTTTGGTTGGATGTTATGCTAACAACCCCCCACCCCTTCCTTACATCTTCCCCCAAAGGTTGATCCGATTAATTAATTTTTAAAATAGAGAAATTAAAGTAACAAAACATAGAAATGAAAGTAGCAAAACCTTTGAAAATTATATAGTTACAAGACTACGAAAAAATGAAAGTAACAAAAAGCTATACGCAATAAAAGATTTCTCATTGAGTTCAAAAGGGATGGACGAACTGACCTTATTTGTTCATAACAATTTGGCCATCTTTCTTGATCTTTAAACTATACACAAGCAACATCCAATAGCAAGAGTCACCATGCACAAACTCCCCCTACAACTCCACTCTTAACAAACATTTAATAATAAGGAACCAATTTAGTACCTCGTAAGAATGTTATACCTTCTAAAATTTGACAAAATTGAACTCATTCCCCTTCAATTTTGGTCAAATTAAAGAATGTACCACATTTCTTATTACTTTAGTATCCAACACAGTTACGAATTAGCAAGAAAGATTTTTCTTAATAATTTTTAAGGAAAAATCTTTCGTGTGAATCATAACAAGGTTAGTTGATTAAAATTGTAAGGGATGTGGTACATTTTATAATTAAACAAATTGAAGGAATGGGTTCAATTTTGTCAAATTATAAAATATACCACATCTCTTATAATTTGTAGTGTTTGACAATGGTACAAAGACCATGAAAATGCCTTCCTAATATAATAATAATAATAATAACAAAAATAATAAAAAGAGTTACCTTAAACTATGGCTAATAGTTAAATGATGATTGCCCTGTGGTTGTCATGAAATTCCTGAAAAACGCATGCTTTTGATCTATGGAGCTTGCCACAATATATCAAATTCACACTTCAATAGCATATAAAAACCACAATATATCAAATTTACAAAAGCATAGCTTTCTCTTTATATATTTAGTATAATGCAGCTTCAACAATGAATAATCATCTGATTATGGAGAAACTAGTATTTCAAAGTGATGAGTAACTGGCTTGGAAAGAATGTTAATCATAAAAAACAATAAAATTTTGTTACTTACATTTCAAGACTATTGCAAAAAGCAAGGCAACACTGTTACATTAGCAAGTAATAGCAGCTAACAATAAAATGTTGGGTCAAGAACTAAAACAATTCAGAGCCTGTAGATTACTGCAAAATATTTGAATATGTCTAACAGTGAGTGAAGCATACCAGGCAACTATACACATTAAAGTTAGCAAAGAACAAAGAAATAGAGGGAGAAATCAAGTTGTAGAAAACAAACTGCCTGTAAAAACAATCTATTGCCGGTTCAATAGAAATGATAAAGCATACCTTTTGAGGGAACATAGCCACTGCAATAACCTATCAAGAGTAACATATCAAGAGTAATACAACGAAAACAATAACCTTAACACTAAAAATAGGTTAACGTGCACAACAATTGAGTCCTTCTGAGTCATTAATTAGACATATGTAGAAATCAAATATATATCTATTGTTAGTAATACTATCAACAATCCTTCACATGGCTCAAAAGGCCAAGCCTTATTATTCAAATTCCAGTGCATTGGTGCCTGTATTATAGAATAGAGAAGCGGACAATTGCAAAATCCTATATATATATATATATACAGGCATTCAAGATTTGTTTCAAAGCATAAAAAAACAGAGACAAATTTGCAAAGGTAAACAGAAAGCTGAATTAATAAAATAACATTCTCTTCGTCAACAAGCTTTTCAAAAAAATCAGTGAGTAGCTTCACATACCGTGACAGGCTGGTTATACTATATGTGTCAAAAGAATGAATTCCTAAAACAGTTAAATTTATAGCAGTAGCTTTAAATCCAGCTCCTTCCAGAAGTGCAATTGTTTTTATACCAAAAGGTTTTGGTATAAAAATCAAAAGGGCACCAGTTAGCAAATTGTAATCAAAAAGGGTAGTATAACATTAAATCCAGCTAATACCATCCAACAAAGATCAAAAGGGCACCATGAAACCAAAAGTGATATGGCCATAAGGGGTCGCTATATCAGTTAGCATATTGTAATAAAAACAAACTAACTTCATTTCAGATTTCCTAGTATGACCTTTTTTTAATGTGATAAAAGTATTCATATTCCATAAATAGCACACATATTCACATACAACAAATAATATAAATAAATAAATAAATAAGATTTGAACACAAGCAAAGCAGTACTAACCAGATACTGCAGTTTATGAAGACCTTGAGGATCATCAATCCCTTCTTCCAGATTATTAAACCTCAAATCTCTGCAAATTTAATATGACAGCAAAACAGTAAAGCAGAGAAGTATATTTCACAAATAGTAAGCAAAAGCAATGTTAGAATCATGCATGAAGGCAAGTCTCTCAAGTGTTTTATATGACTTATAGAATCATCTTTATCAACCTGAGTTCCATATTCCATCCCTTAATACCAAAGTCAAAATATTGGGTTAGCCACTTGCGCATATTGTTTGGATGCCTATGGATTTTTGGTTGGATGTTATGCTACAAAGGTTGATCCTATTAATTAATTTTAAAAACATAGCTGGGCAAAACCTTGGAAAATTATATAGTTACAAGACTTCAAAAAAAAAAAAAAATGCAAGTAACAAAAAGCTATACACAATAGAAGATATGTTCTCATTGAGTTCAAAAGGAATGGGCGGACTGACCTTATTCATTCATAAGAATTTGGTCATCTTTCTTGATCTTTAAACTATACACGAGCACCATCAATAGCAAGAGTCACCATGCCCAAACTCCTCCCACAACTCCACGAACATTTAAATTTTAATAATAAGGAACCGTTTTAGTATTGGTCATAAGAATGTTATACTTTTTATAATTTGACAAAATTGAACCCATTCCTTCAATTTTGGTCAAATTAAAGAATGTAACTCATTTCTTATGACGTTAGTATCCAACACTGTTATGAATTGACAAGAAAGATTTTTTCTTAATAATTATTAAGAAAATTCTTTCATGTGAATCATAATAAGGTTAGATGATTAAAATTGTAAGGGATGTGGTATATTTTATAATTTAACAAAATTGATGGAATGGGATCAATTTTGTCAAATTATATAATATACCACATCTCTTATAATTTTTAGTGTTTGACATTGGTACGACAGCCACGAAAGAGTTACCATAAATTATAGCTAACAGTTAAATGATGATGGCCCTATGGTTGCCATGAAATTCCTGACAAACACTTGCTTTTGATCTATGGAGCTTGCCACAATATATCAAACTCATATAAAAACCACAATATATCAAATTTACAAAATCAGAGCTTTCTCTTTATATTTACTATAATGCAGCTTCAACAATGAATAATCATCTTTTTATGGGTTGAGCTGCATAAAATAAATCATGGAGAAACTAGTATTTCAAAGTGATGAGTTTAACTGGCTTAGAGAGAACGTTAATCATACCACACTTTCATGGACACTTAGTGGAGCCCTCTGAAGGTCTCTTATAGAATCGCCACTCCCCCATTTTTCCATAACTCAGCTAACCCTGAAAAATAAGCTTGACAATAAGTATCACTGAAAGTAAAATGGGATAAAATCATGGAACTGAAATAATTTCAACCTTCATATTGTAGTCACACCCATATATAAAATGCAGAATAAACTTATTTAACTTCCAAATGCCATGGGAAAGTAATCTTGTAATTTACAAAAGTGCAGCTACCATGTACTGAAGAATATATATAATGCAGATAAATTAAATATGCACAAAACCCACTTGAAGAGCAAGAAGTCCTTCCTAAGAATATGTTGTACACCATGCTTAACAGAAGCAGCATTTAGGTCATAAAAGATCATGTTCAGCTCATAAATTCAACGAAAATTGTTAAAAGTGGTTAAGTCTCTGCAACATGTTCCATTCTCAAAGAAACATTCATCCAGGTAGGTGTTTTATATTCTATATTTCTATCCCATAATACCAAAGTCAAAATATCAAGTTAGCCCCTTGCACATATTGTTTCGATGCCTATGGATTTTAGGTTGGATGTTAAGCAAGACAACACTGTTACATTAGCAAGTAATAACACCTAACGATAAAAAGTTGGGTCAAAAACTAAAACAATTCAGAGCCTGTAGATTACTGCAAATATTTGAATCTGTCTAAGAGTGAGTGAAGCATACACATTAAAGTTAGCAAAGAACAAAGAAATGGAGAGAAATCAAGTTGTAGAAAACAAAATGTGCATGTAAAAACAATCTATTGCCGGTTCAATAGAAATGATAAAGCATACCTTTTGAGGGAACATATCAAGGATACTCTGCTGCCCACTGGTCAACATAGCCACTGCAATGGAAAGCTCCATAACATATGATATATGAGGACAACCAAAATCATGCCCTACCAAAATCACCTATATGTTCAAAAAGAGTAATACAAAGAAAACAATAACCTTAACACTAAAAATAGGTCAATGTGCACAAAAATTGAGTCCTCAGATTTTTTTTTCTGAGTCATTAATAAAAGATTAGCCATTACACATATGTAGAAATCAAATATATATCTATTGTTAGTAATACTATCAACAGTCCTTCGCATGGATCAAAAGGCCAAGGCTTATTATTCAAATTCCATTGCATTGGTGCCCGTATTACAGAATTTAGAAGCAGACAATTGCAAGATCCTATATATATAAGATTTATTTTAAAGCATATACAAACAGAGACAAATTCACAAAGGTAAACAGAAAGCTGAAATTAATAAAATAACATTCTCTTCGTCAACAAGCTTTTCAATAAGAATCAGTGAGTAGCTTCACATACTGAAAGGCTGGTTATACTATTTGTGTCAAAAGAATGAATTCCTAAACCAATTAAATTTATTTGCAGTAACTTTAAATCCAGCTCCTTCCAGAAGTGCAATTGTTTTTATACCAAAAGGTTTGGTATAAAAATCAAAAGGGCACCAGTTAAGCAAATTGTAATCAAAAGGGTAGTAACATTAAATCCAGCCAATAGCATCCAACAAAGATCAAAAGGGCACCATGAAACCAAAAGTGTTATGGACATAAGGGGTCGCTATATCAGTTAGCATATTGTAATAAAAACAAACTTAACTTCATTTCAGATTTCCTAGTATGACCTTTTTTTAATGTGATAAAATTATTCATATTCCATAAATAGCACACATATTCACATACAACAAATAATATAAATAAATAAATAAGATTTGAGCAGTACTAACCGAATACTGCAGTTTATCAAGACCTTGAGGATCATCAATCCCTCCTCAGATTATTAAACCTCAAATCTCTGCAAATTTAATATGACAACAAAACAATAAAGCAGAGAAGTATATTTCACAAATAGTAAGCAAAAGCAATCCATATTCCTTAATACCAAAGTCAAAATATTGGGTTAGCCACTTGCACATATTGTTTGGACGCCTATGGATTTTTGGTTAGATGTTATGCTACAAAGGTTGATCCTATTAATTAATTTTAAAAACATAGTTGGGCAAAACCTTAGAAAATTATATAGTTACAAGACTTCGAAAACAATGAAAGTAACAAAAAGCTATACGCAATATAAGATATGTTCTCATTGAGTTCAAAAGGAATGGGCGGACTTACCTTATTCATTCATAACATTTTGGCCATCTTTCTTGATCTTTAAACTATACACGAGCAACATCAATAGCAAGAGTCACCATGCCCAAACTCCTCCTACAACTACACTCTTAACGAACATTTAATAATAAGGAACCGCTATAGTATTGATCGTAAGAATGTTATACTATTTATAATTTGACAAAATTGAACCCATTCCTTCAATTTTGGTCAAATTAAAGAATGTACCACATTTCTTATGACTTTAGTATCCAACACTGTTACGAATTGGCAAGAAAGAGTTTTTCTTAATAATTATTAAGAAAAAATCTTTCATGTGAATCATAACAAGGTTAGATGATTAAAATTGTAAGGGGTGTGGTACATTTTATAATTTAACAAAATTGAGGGAATGGGATCAATTTTGTCAAATTATATAATATACCACATCTCTTATAATTTTTAGTGTTTGACATTGGTACAAAGACCATGAAAATGCCTCCCTAATATAATAATAATAACAAAAATAATAAAAAGAGTTACCTTAAACTATGGCTAATAGTTAAATGATGATTGCCCTGTGGTTGTCATGAAATTCCTGAAAAACGCATGCTTTTGATCAATGGAGCTTGCCACAATATATCAAATTCACACTTCAATAGCATATAAAAACCACAATATATCAAATTTACAAAACCATAGCTTTCTCTTTATATATTTAGTATAATGCAGCTTCAACAATGAATAATCATCTGATTATGGAGAAACTAGTATTTCAAAGTGATAAGTAACTGGCTTGGAAAGAATGTTAATCATAAAAAACAATAAAATTTTGTTACTTACATTTCAAGACTATTGCAAAAAGCAAGGCAACACTGTTACATTAGCAAGTAACAGCAACTAACAATAAAAAGTTGGGTCAAGAACTAAAACAATTCAGAGCCTGTAGATTACTGCAAAATATTTGAATATGTCTAACAGTGAGTGAAGCATACCAGGCAACTATACACATTAAAGTTAGCAAAGAACAAAGAAATGGAGAGAAATCAAGTTGTAGAAAACAAACTGTGCATGTAAAAACAATCTATTGCCGGTTCAATAGAAATGATAAAGCATACCTTTTGAGGGAACATATCAAGGATACTCTGCCCACTGGTCAACATAGCCACTGCAATGAAAAGCTCCATAACATATGATATATCATGCCCTACCAAAATCACCTATATGTTCAAAAAGAGTAATACAAAGAAAACAATAACCTTAACACTAAAAATAGGTCAATGTGCACAAAAATTGAGTCCTCAGATTTTTTTTTCTGAGTCATTAATAAAAGATTAGCCATTACACATATGTAGAAATCAAATATATATCTATTGTTAGTAATACTATCAACAGTCCTTCGCATGGATCAAAAGGCCAAGGCTTATTATTCAAATTCCATTGCATTGGTGCCCGTATTACAGAATTTAGAAGCAGACAATTGCAAGATCCTATATATATAAGATTTATTTTAAAGCATATACAAACAGAGACAAATTCACAAAGGTAAACAGAAAGCTGAAATTAATAAAATAACATTCTCTTCGTCAACAAGCTTTTCAAAAAAAAAATCAGTGAGTAGCTTCACATACTGTGAAAGGCTGGTTATATTATTTGTGTCAAAAGAATGAATTCCTAAACCAATTAAATTTATTTGCAGTAACTTTAAATCCAGCTCCTTCCAGAAGTGCAATTGTTTTTATACCAAAAGGTTTTGGTATAAAAATCAAAAGGGCACCAGTTAAGCAAATTGTAATCAAAAGGGTATAACATTAAATCCAGCCAATAGCATCCAACAAAGATCAAAAGGGCACCATGAAACCAAAAGTGTTATGGACATAAGGGGTCGCTATATCAGTTAGCATATTGTAATAAAAACAAACTTAACTTCATTTCAGATTTCCTAGTATGACCTTTTTTTAATGTGATAAAATTATTCATATTCCATAAAATAGCACACATATTCACATACAACAAATAATATAAATAAATAAATAAGATTTGAGCAGTACTAACCAAATACTGCAGTTTATCAAGACCTTGAGGATCATCAATCCCTCCTCAGATTATTAAACCTCAAATCTCTGCAAATTTAATATGACAACAAAACAATAAAGCAGAGAAGTATATTTCACAAATAGTAAGCAAAAGCAATCCATATTCCTTAATACCAAAGTCAAAATATTGGGTTAGCCACTTGCACATATTGTTTGGATGCCTATGGATTTTTGGTTGGATGTTATGCTACAAAGGTTGATCCTATTAATTAATTTTAAAAAAACATAGTTGGGCAAAACCTTAGAAAATTATATAGTTACAAGACTTCGAAAAAAATGAAAGTAACAAAAAGCTATATGCAATATAAGATATGTTCTCATTGAGTTCAAAAGGAATGGGCGGCCTTACCTTATTCATTCATAACATTTTGGCCATCTTTCTTGATCTTTAAACTATACACGAGCACCATCAATAGCAAGAGTCACCATGCCCAAACTCCTCCTACAACTACACTCTTAACGAACATTTAATAATAAGGAACCGCTTTAGTATTGATTGTAAGAATATTATACTATTTATAATTTGACAAAATTGAACCCATTCCTTCAGTTTTGGTCAAATTAAAGAATGTACCACATTTCTTATGACTTTAGTATCCAACACTGTTACGAATTGGCAAGAAAGAGTTTTTCTTAATAATTATTAAGAAAAAACCTTTCATGTGAATCATAACAAGGTTAGATGATTAAAATTGTAAGGGATGTGGTACATTTTATAATTTAACAAAATTGAGGGAATGGGATCAATTTTGTCAAATTATATAATATACCACATCTCTTATAATTTTTAGTGTTTGACATTGGTACAACAGCAATGAAAGAGTTACCACAAACTATAGCTAACAGTTAAATGATGATGGCTTCCTGACAAACACATGCTTTTGATATATGGAGCTTGCCACAATATATCAAATTCACACTTTAATAGCATATAAAAACCACAAAATATCAAATTTACAAAAGCAGAGCTTTCTCTTATTATGGGTCTAAGTTGCATGAAATAAATCATAGAGAAACTAGTATTTCAAAGTGATGAATTTAACTGGCTTGGAGAGAACGTTAATCATACCACACTTTCATGGACACTTAGTGGAGCCCTCTGAAGGTCTCTTATAGAATCGCCACTCCCCCATTTTTCCATAACTCAGCTAACCCTGAAAAATAAACTTGACAATAAGTATCATTGAAAGTACAATGGGATAAAATCATGGAACTGAAATAATTTCAACCTTCATATTGTAGTCACACCCATATATAAAATGCAGGATAAACTTATTTAACTTCCAAATGCCATGGAGGCTGAAAGCCAACAATCTTGTAATTTACAAAAGTGCAGCTACCATGTACTGAAGTATATATAATGAAGATAAATTAAAAATGCACAAAACCAACTTGAAGAGCAAGAAATCCATACTAGGAATATGTTGTTCACCATGCTTAACAGAAGCAACATTTAGGTCATAAAAGATCATGTTCAGCTCATAAATTCAACGGAAATTGTTAAAAGTGTTAAGTCTCTGGAACATATTCCACAAAGAAACATTCATTCAGGTAGGTGTAGTTATCTCCAATAAATTTTGAAAAAAACAATAAAATTTTGTTACTTACATTTCAAGGCTACTGCAAAGCAAGGCAGCATCGTTACATTAGCAAGTAATAGCAACTAATGATAAAAAGTTAAGTCAATTCCTAAAACAATCCAGAGCCTGTAGATTACTGCAAAATATTTGAATTTGTCTGCAATACCGTATACAACAGTAAGTGAAGCATACCAGGCAACCATACACATTCAACTTAGCAAGGAACAAAGAAATGGAGAGAAATCAAGTTGTAGAAAACAAACTGCATGTAAAAACAATCTATTGCCTGTTTAATAAAATGATATGCAAGCACAACCAAAATCATGCCCTACCAAAATCACCAGTTGAATGTTCAAAAAGAATACGTACAAAGAAAACAAAAACCTAACACTAAAAATAGGTCAATGTGCACAAAAATTGCGTCCCCAGATTTTTTTCTGAGTCATTAATGAAAGATTAGCCATTAGACATATGCAGAAATCAAATATATATCTATTGTTAATAATACTATCAACAATCCTTCACATGGCTCACAGGGCCAAAGCATATCATTCAAATTCCAGTGCATTGGTGGCCGTATTACAGAATTTAGAAGCAGACAATTGCGGAATCAAATATATATACAGGCATTCAAGATTTATTTCAAAGCATAAAAGTAGAGGTAAATTCACAAAGGTAATCAGAAAGCTGAAATTAATAAAATAACCTTCTCTTCGTGAACAAGCTTTTCAAAAAAAAAAAATCAGTGAGTGGCTTCGCTCGGTGCCGCCGTCTCGCTTCCTCCATCTCCTCCCTCCAATTCGCCATTATCCACGGTGAATCGAAGTTGGATTTCGTGGATTTCCACTTCTGTCCGTTGGTCTCTTGAGTTGATATCTTTGATGTGAGGCACTGTGAGAGGTATGGGGAGATGATTTTTTTCTTCAACTGGAGAGATACGAGGTGGTTTAAATAAAAAATAAACAACTCAACGGTCAGTTGAGGTTTAAAATTTCAATTTTTAAAAATTTTGTATTTTACTTTAATATATTTTGATGGTTTTTTTTTTTCTTCTTTTTCTTTTCTGCTGAGAGTAGTTTTTCTATTTTTAATTTCTTTCTAAAAATTTGACCGTAAGAATTCTGAGTTAAATTTATTTTTTTAATTTTTAATATATTAAAATTTTGAGTTAAATTTATTTTTAATTATTAGTATATTTTGATTAGGGGGTTAGCGAATAGAGCTTTCGGTAAACTATTCGTATTCGTGTTCGGTAAGCGTTCGTTTATTAAGGTAAACGAACATTAACAAACAAAATTTAGAGCTCGGTTTATAAACGAACAGAGTCTGAACAGTTGTAAGCTCATTTGCTAAGAGATCGTGAACAAGCTCGTTTGTATTCGTTTAATAATGTTCGCGAACAAGCTCCTTTATTGTTGGTTCAATAATGTTTGTGAACAAGCTCGTTTGTGTTCGTTTAATATTTGTTTGTATTCTCTTTGTAATTGTGTTACTTGTTTGGTTATTTTTTATGAACATATATTATTTCTTGTTCACGAACGAATTGTGATCATGAACTTGTTCATATGTTTTGTTATTAACCATTCACGAACGTGTTTATGAGCGTGAACAAACATGTTCGTGAATGTGTATGTTAATGTTAACGAACATGTTCGTGAACGTGCTCGCGAACGCTTAACAAATGAACACGAACACAAACACTCCAAAAACCTTAACAAACGAACACGAACAACCTACATTCGTTTATGTTTGATTCGTTAAGAGCCCTAATTTTGATATTTTAAATGCAGATTTTTAATATTTTGATTTAAAATCGAAATTTTGAATTATAATTATAAAGTTGAAATTATTAATTATAAAAAAAAGTAAATAAAATATTAGATGATGTGTATAATGAAGTGTATGCCCCACAAAAAAATGGAGAATGATTGGAAAGAAAATAAGGCCCCATTTAATTTTTTTTAGTACACTCTAACATATATATAGTATTTGCTCAGCAAATTATGCCGATCCTTGATTAGGATGGAACTCGATTTTAAACATTCCTTATGAAAAGGAATAGTGATGTTATCTAACCACAAGGTATTTATCCAGTCTCGTTTAGCTAGTGGAAAATATTTGGAGGGAAATGAAATTGAAATTTCATAAAAAAGAATTTACCATGACGATTAATTCCATTGTTTGGTTGGTGAAAAGAAAAATTACTGAGAATACTGATTTCAGATTGGGATGGAATGATTAGGAATAAGGAGTATAAAGACTAGGAGCATATTTGGTTGGATAAAAAAAAAAATTAGTCTTTATATTCATTATTGCTTACCATTTCAACCCAACCAAACAATGGAATTAATATTTTCAGTAATTTCTTTTTCACCAATTAAACAATATAATCAATCTTCCTATTAATTTCTTTTCTATGAAATTTAAATTCCATTTCTCTTTAAATATTTTTCACAAATTAACGGGTTCAATAATGAGAAGACGGCAAAAAAATATGAAACC